TCATATGTCAGTATACACCTCTTCGTATGATTATGTTAATAGTAACAGCATGAAACTTTAATCAATTTCTATATCCCCCATCCAGGGACCGGTGGGGGATTTATTAACATTGTGTTATAAAACAACAAACTCACTGTAAATAAATATTGTAATACATGAATCACATCAAACTTCAGTTATCAATTTTTATGCAAAAAATAGGGTAGGCTTGTTGAAAGTTATCTTGAGTTTAAATTTTTCTGACATTCAAAATATCATTTTCTTACGTACGTAAACTAGGGGTATAACATGGAATCCATTCTACAATAAGCCAGTCAAGTGTATTATGTGCTATCACAAAATGTGCTGAGGCAACAGTTAATTACAGTCCCAAAACTTGTCCAAGTTGTGGGTCAATTAAGCTTTACCATCGCTTGCTTATTAAACATCATGTGAAATGTACTAGACTTGCCAGGTAAATTTCCATGGACAGTTACATGCTGTGTTATTATATTAAGTACAGATTTTCAAGCCTCTTGTGGTTTAATACTGCTCTGTAAGTTACACAAGTATGTTCATGGGACTACACACTGGCGTATAGCATGTATGTGTTTTGTTATGCCAGTGGTCTTGGACAGTTAAGACCATGGTGGAGTGGGGGCTCTCTTCAGCAAATACATCTCACATAATTTTTTATCGGAAAGTCCCCCATCCTTCATAACTGTTCTCATTTAGATATATTTTTTCAAATAGGTTGCAATTTTCAACTTTAACATATTTTGATTTTAATATTGTTTGTAACCTAAAATAAAGTTCTGATTCCAGGTCATACCAATACGAGGCTCGATACCCATAAAGGGGGCCCCATTAACTGTTGCAAAATGCACCAACCAATGAAGAAAGTGACTAGGTGGGGAGGATGTTAGGGAGCTATGGCCTCAACTAGAGGGGAGGTCTCCATCAAGATTGTTTTTAGTTTTTGATGAGATATCATGTATTCCCAGTGTATCTAAAAATGTATATGTGATAAAATGGCTTTGATTGACACTTTTGAATCCATATTGGGCCACAACTGCACAGCATATATACGATGTCTGGCAATCATGCAGTCCATTTAATGTTAAATCTTTTTTGCAGATAATAATATTTTCAGTTCCAATCCAGTTGTTTATGATAATTGCAGCCTCTTTGGATTTACTCACATCTTCCAAATCTTTCTGTGCTGCCTGAAATACAAGAAAGAATACATTATGTAATGCTTTGGTTATGTTCATTGTTACAAAGTTTATTATTTTATATAATATTTAACAGTAACTTTTATAAGTCATGCTTTTTCCATGTTCAACGGTTTTTATTTTATTTAGAACTGACCAAGGGCGGATCCAGATTTTTTCGGACAGGTGTTACCATTCCAGTTTATTTTGCTACGCTTGTAATCTGAACCATATAGTGTTGCACAAAATAATGTTAGATACCTGTCTTGGCTAGCCACCTTGTACTTTCCCAATTTCCTTTTTTTTTTAAAGTAAAATGCCCGATTGGAATGAATCATGAATATATTATGATTATTTTTTGTATTTATTTACATGTATTTTAATTTTCTCCAGAAAAAAAAACTACCTGTTTATCCATCATGCAAGAAAAAGATTCTCGGATTAAAAACTTGGAAATTTAACCAAGTTTACAAACATGATAGAGGGGAGGTGACAGATATTTCGCTGGCAGTGTAATACACAAACAGCTACAGAATCATTAAAAAAATGAAAATATTAAAATCAGATAAGCTTGCTACGCTCGCAAAACTGACAGTGCGTCAGAGACGTGGACTATATATGTGCTTTATACAAGCTTGGGGGTGATATATAACGTCATTCTGGACTTTCATTTATATTGCACAATGTCTATGTCGGAACAAATTAATATGTTATGCACTGATTCAGAGTACGTACCTTGCCACGCAATCTTTACAAAAGCATTCAGTTCACACGTCAAGATACTCGATGATGCAGTCGGCATAGTACTGTAATATGAGTGCCAATCGATTTCAAGCCCCCGACAATTCAATAAACTTTTGCCCAAAATATTTCCTCTGTTTAAAACATATTATTACCTGACCACATGCAACATTTGAAATGTATTTGGCAAGTGCAATGTCCTACATTGCACCACAGGAGTCCGCAATTCCGTCAGAAATAAATAATAACAGCACAGTGGATTTGCCAGAGAAAAATAATATAATAAAAGATATATTACAAAGAAATGATTAAGCTGTTTTCGATCGTTTTTAGGTTGTCTGAACGGGAAGTGAGATGCCCTATAATAATCAGACATAGACTAATGTCGAAACCTGATGAGATATTAATACAAATTGATGAAGTTATAATTGAAATCATTTGCTAATTGTCATTAATATCAGCTTGTTGAAAAAATTCGAGAAGATTTCATTTTTTCGGCGTAAAGGTCAGTATTGAAATTCTACTTTCACTTTCAAATAACTTCGAGCAAGAACTATAAGAACTATCGTTATACTTCATCCTAGTTAACGATATCGTAATGTAACAGTCAATAAGATGATAGAAGTGATATAAATAGTCATGATTTACCTATTTTGCACAAAGAAGTTGCGTTACATTTTGGCCCATAAGCGTCACAATATTTTGCCGCGCTATGTAAATTACGATCACGCGACAATCACATGCCTCGCAAGTCGTGCGGTTAAATCAAATTGCATAGAAACAATAACAACTAACAAGAGTACCGCGGGGCGGAACATATACGCCCGTCGAATGCCATATAGTGGTATATACTTTCTTACATTGAAATAAGATCTGCATCATTCTAAGAGTGGTTAGCTGACATGCTATAAAAAATGTAGGAGAAAATCTCCGGACAAAAAATCAAATACTGAAATGAACAAAGGGCAATAACTTTTGCTAAAATCGTCAAATCAAAATTCTTTTAGGGGAGACACAATTTCATATCATGATGATAATGTATACCCAGTTTCAAAAAAATCCGTCAAAAAATGTAGGAGGAGACTGCCGGACAAAAAATCAAATACTGAAATGAACAAAAGGCAATTTCTTTTGGAAAAATTGTCGAATTAAAATTCTATTACGGGTAACACAACTTCATATCATGATTATAATGTATACCAAGTTTCAAAGAGATCCGTTGAAAAATGTAGGAGGAGTTTGCCGGAAAAAAATCAAATACTGAAATGAACAAAGGGCAATTTCTTTTGGAAAAATGGTCGAATCAAAATTCTTTTACGGGGGACACAACTTCATATCATGATTATAATGTATACCAAGTTTTAAAGAGATCGGTCGAAAAATGTAGAAGGGGAGTGCCGGACAAACAAAAGTTTACGCCGGCCGGCCGGACGGTCGGACGGACAAACCCATACCATAAAACTATTAATTTTTACCTGGAGTGGACAGTTTATCACCTCGGGCGATGTACAGTTAGCCCGACCTATTGTTCAATTGTCCTGATGTCAAACACGGACAACTTACCTGAGTTTTTACCTTATAAAATCCATTCACGGCAGAAAACAAATATTGCAATAAGCGGGGTCCAACATTTGACTATATCATAAAAACGATTTGTGTTGCTTAGTTATAGGATAAGCGACATCATAATAAGTAGGTTCCACTCTAGTACAAATAACGAAAAATATATTTTCACAACATAAAACAGTAAACAGAAACACTGCGTTATTAAATTGAATAAATGTGTAACAAATTTGTAACAAACATGTCTTTTAATCCCTGTCTTGAACACACAGTATCATGTTTCATTAGTACTGATGATGTACATGTTTGATAGAGAAAATATCGCACTCCATCTTTTGCCGTTCATTATCTGTAAACAATTCATGGATATTATCAAATATTATGTATATTACCAAAGACGTATATATTACAATATATACGTCTCTGCTAGTATTTCTTTTGATTTTTACTTACGTTACAAAAGCGGCACAAAAACATCTAAAATCTGACTGATTGGGATAGTCTAATATTACATCTGAGGGAGACAAAGCTTTGTGCTAACTCACAAATATGGTTCGACCCTACAATTAGACCGACTTCATTCAAATCCGGCTGATCATGTTAATCCAATGTTCTACTAATGGAGATAAGGTTTTGCAGAAATACAGGTAAACCGCGGCGATGACCTTCAGCCACATCCAGCCAGTTCGGCTGCTTGCCGTTTGACGAGTAGCTAAAGTTATCAAAGTATGGTTAGCTTTACAGTTCTCTTGTGTTAATGTATTGGTCCTGTCGATTTTTTCTGTGACTATACTGAAATGGACAGAACACTTTGGAGATAGTTTCTTAATTCTGCCGGAAAGAATAGTCATATTCAAGTGGTCAGTGGTATAATTTCAGGCTTATTTGCAGTGGTATTTTTGTGATATAAAGCAAAACGTTAGTGACCCAAACATTGTGACAGGAACTGTGTACAGTATTTAGGTACAGAAAGTAGGTCAGAGCAAGCAGAGCATCGTTAGAAAATTAATCAGATTATTTTGTATTAATTGTATACTCACAAAATACATGCATTGTTGTATTTTTCACATACATATGGCTAGTTAAGAAAGTATCGAAGTGAATTCTTTCTCTGCCTATCTCTGCGAACCACAAAATGGCGTCACTACGGAATGAATGAAAATGGTAGGGGTCGCTGCCAAAAACATTTGCATATGAATGAAATGTGAATGAATGACATCCATATAAGGATATGTCAGCTACCATATAAGGACCGAAAGACTATATAAAGTCATAGGTGGCGTAAGTATCTACTGTGTAATTCCACGTTAAGCAAATGACACCTGCGTTACCTAACGCATGTGTCAAAAACCAAGGAAATCTAATCTCAGCATATCATTCAAAGTTCAAGCATTTAGATAATGATTTGAATTATGTATACATTAACCGCTACTATCACCAACCACGTGACTACAGTCACCCTTACCAGATTGTTTCATTTGAAACGTAACTCTGTGGCTAAAAGTCAGATATTTTTTATTATTCCTTCAGGAAGTATCTTTAAATACACTTAAAAGGATGGCAAGTAAACTAGCCGTTCGCCGTGCCCAGGTACATGTTCCCGATACGTGTGCGTTGTGTGAAAGCATACAGGACGTTAACTGGTACTGTAATGACTGCCAGGAGGCTTTATGTGACAAATGTAAGGATGGGCATAAACGCGGGAAGAAAACACGAAATGATGACGTCGTACCAATACGGCAGGCGGAAAAACAGAACGAAGTACTAGTAATACTCCCAAAGGTATGTATGACACATCCCGGTAAATTACGTGATCTGTTATGCACAGAGTGTCACGTTCTCATGTGCTCGATGTGTTTTGCCCAGAAACATAAACGCCACACATTTAAACATATTGAAGAAGAAATAGACTCACAGAAACAGTACATGCGAGGTCAATTAGAAACGTTAAAGTCCAAGCTCGACCACTTTGATGATAATCTAGCAAAGCGTCACGAAGCCAACAAAGCATTCAAAGACAGCGTTGATGTCATCCGAAAAGTTGTTCAAGCCCAAGGAGCAAAATTGAAAGCAGAAGTTGATTCTATCGTTAACTCCGTTCTAGCCGAGTTATCGTCCCTGATTGCTGAAGAAGACGAATCCTACAAACGGGATTGCCAACCTTATCAGAAGAACGTCAAAGAGATAAAGCAGCTGATCAGAGATGTGGAGCAGCGGACAGAACAAATGTCCAGTACAACCTTGTTTGAGCTGACGGGGAAACTGAGAAATACTATACCGCTTTATGACGTTACTTGCCAGAATATACATTCACGTCCACCAACCTTTGTAAGTGGTCAACTTAATACAAAGAAGTTGGAAAAAATGGTTGGATATGTTTCCGCCGGGTACAAGAAAAAGGACATCGACAGTCAACATGTCAAAAAAATGTCTTCGTTCCAAGCCCCTCAGCAGAGCTCTGTAATCTCAATATGTCCTACTGACGACAATCATGCATGGATGTCAGTGTTAGGATCTAAGGAATTGGTCAAAACCGACAAAAAGGGAAAGGTTACGGATTCCCTTCAGCTTGATTTTAAACCGCTGTCCCTGGCTTTGATCAATACAACAGAACTATTGATCACGTGTCGGGATTCATCACTGATATACATACTGTCCAACGACAGACAAATTATGACTTTCGCTGACATCAGTCCATTTAAAGCCTGTTGTATCAGTGTTAATGACTGTGACAAGGTGTTTGTAACCACTCGTACTTCAAAAATACTGGCACTGAACAAGTCGGGGAACATGATCAGAAAAATCTCTTGTGGGCAGATTGGGATCAGAATCGTATGTTTGACAGCAGGAAATTTCGCTGTTGCCACTGGTGATGGTGGTTACTGTAACGAACTAATGACCGTAAATAAATCAGATCAGATCATACGTACGTGGAGTGGGGAACTAGACAATGGTCAGAAGATAGAACAGACGCTACAGTGTAGTATAGCGCGTGATAGATATGACAGGGTGTTTGTGCCAGACTTCGACACCGACCAGGTATACGTTCTCTCAGGAAATGAGGCAAAGGCCAAGTGTCTCCTAGAAAAGAAACACAGAGTAATTCAACCAATGGCTGTATGTGTAGACAGGTGTGGACATGTTTGGGTCGGCTGTGTTGATGGTACAGTACATGTGATGGAGCTTTAAACTTATATATCGGAGTGGTTGAAAACGAAAAACAATGGTGTAGTGCTGCAAAAGGAGTATGACGAGGAACTCCTGTCTTACCAACAAGTTAGCTTTTCCAGTGATGAGATTTAACCCTGTAACGCGCTCTAGTTCAGCTTAGAGTTTCTTACTTCGAGCGTGGTTAGTATATGGATGGGTGACCACGCGCAAGTTACATTTGGTGGGAGCGTCATGACTCTGTGCAAAGGCAAGTTTCAGGTGGTTAGTAAAGGCGCATTACTCAATAGTGAGAACCAGCTGAATATTCCTTAGACCCAGTCTGTGACATACTGGCAGGCTAGCTTTTCCAGCGATGCGATGTGGAATATTTCTGGTACTCGTTGACTAGTTCACCAGCGTCGAGCGTGGTCAGTGTCTGGATGAGTGACCGCCAGCACGTTTATAGTACATTGTTAGGTTAATTCGATACAGCTATTTGTCTAAGTTGTTGACGTCTTAAAAAACATATAGATTCTTTTAGTGTGTATTTTTACATGAAAAGGTTTAATATTTAATTTCAAGGATAACTACCTTTAACATATGAAAATAACAAAGGACGAGTTTATCTATATATTTTTTTAAACTAATACTATTATAATAACATCGTTTATTACATTTTTACCAGTGAAATATTGAAAATTATTCATTCTGTAAAAAGAGTAAAAAATATCAAAATGGGTTGATGTCTCAGACGGATTTTCTTTGGCTGGGTCTGCGTTTCATTAAGCTAACCAGGCATTGCACATTTGGGCTACTTGTATAATGTTAGGGTTTGTTACTTGTATAATGTTAGGGTTTGTTACTTGTCACTTCTGCTGATTTGACCAATCAAAACACTGATTACAAATTACCATGAGAAAAATTACCAATCAGAAACCCAGACATTATAAAAGTGGTCCTAATGCTAAAAGCATGTTGAGTTTTGTAGGTAAACTAAGTCTTTGATAAACGGTGTCCACAGGGTTATCATGACAAAACACAGCATTTGTTTTAATAAGTTTTAATATGTTATGCAAGTTTCTATATCTTGAATATAGCAGATAAAAAAACCAAATCAGTTTGTATTTGTTGAGACTTCATGGGTAGAGGAAAACGGTGTAAATATGAGACTCAACCAGTGACTGATTTTTGTAAATATGAAAATCAGGGTGATCAATCTTTGTCATATCACATTATACAAGTATCATAAAGTATATAGTGAAACCTGTCCAATCCGTGACCCTGTGAAAAACGAACAAATTTTATTAAAAAAAAAAGTGAATTGACCTCAGAATGACAGATATGAAAGGATATCAGAATACTCAGGAGTCGGCTAAGACAGGTTTTACTGTATAATAGAAATATAGTGAGTGAAAATGTATTTGTGACTATAATTATACGTATTAAACTTACATTATTTACGTGAAACCATATGCCCATTAAACTTTGAAACATTTTTATGGTAAACTATTAAACCATTAATTTCTAATCTACAGGTAATACAATCATTTTCATCTATTGTTTCATTGAAAAGCACCATTAATTGGGGGAAAAACCACTATTTTTTTCATAATTTAACTAACAATAATAAACTTATGAAAATGTTGTGTAACATATAATTTCAACAATATTCTTGTAAAAGGCAAATGAACATTTCATTCTACATTACAATTTTCCAATAGGATAATGAAACAAAAATAGAAGTGTCAAACCATGAACATTGTTTCAAGAAAAAGTTTTATATTTATTATAAGTAAATAAGATAATACAGGTGGAATGGTGTAGTAGTTATGGTTGTGCTACATAATAGGTCTTTGAACTCAAATGTCGAGATAACAATATCAATTCTGCGTAACGTTGTAATAATACCATTTCATGTATACCAGCACCAGTAACTAACGTCAAATGATCATGTAATATTTACAAGGCAGACTATTTCGGTTGTATATTGCTTCGTGTTGGAGATGCTTACTTTTCAAGTGAACAAAACTGAAAAAATAATCATCAAAATCAAAAACGTTCATGTATTAAAAAACAGTAAATACAGGTACAAAGATTGAAAAAAACTGCTAAGTAGATTGTTTAAGGAAAGAAGCGACAACAAAACGAGCAACCTTCTGGACAAGTCATAGCTGTGTACTTATAACTAATGAAATGTTCTATAAGAATTCACCAGGGTCATATTGCAGCTATTTTCAATCATGTCTTGGCATAAAGGGACCATCACTTACGGAAGTAAAGATCACTGTTATGTAGGCAATTAATGACTATGATTATGTTAAATATTTTCAGAGTCAAAAGAAAAAGTTACTGAACTGTTACTTTATCATATATACAACAACATTAAAAATATAGCTTTTACTACACTGTAAATAATTGTTATAAGAACTCTATTGGGTATATATAGAGTAAATTACACAAGTTTCTATTCCATACGAGATTCATAGAGCTGTTATGAAATGAATCTACAAATTTATTTCACTTTTAACAAAGCCTCTAGAAAGTTACAATAAACAATCGTAACGAAAATCTCATATGAAATGGAAACGTATGTAAGATTCTGTATATCATATAAACAATTATTGTTGCAAATCATTGTAACCATGAAAAAAATATCTATTAGAAATAAAAAAAAATGTCGTTATATTGACTTCAAGCCTTCTTTTGTTTTGTCTCAATACAATTGAAAGTCTATGACGTCATGAGGTTGTTCTAGTTGTGACGTCATAGTTGAAACAAAGGGGCCCTACAGCCAATCAAAGTTCTGCTAGGTGTTAATGAAATTTGCGCTCTTTTCACACAAATTATGTTATGTATGTAATGACACTGATAACAGGATAGTAACGTGAAAATTAATCATGAATAATTTTCGACAATTCAAATGTTTCAAAAATTGGCAATTGTTTTATTATTGCTATGTTTGTGGCCTAGATATGATCTGTGAACCTTAACCCTTGGATCTCCCAGAACTATAATCAACTATCATTGAAACCCAAGAAAGCTGGAGGAACTAAGTGAAAACAAAACACAAACCTAGACCCAGTGCAAAAATTACAATTAGCTCTCAAATGTGAAACGTTAGCAAACTTCTCAGCATATAACCCTAAGCTTGAATCTCAGTGTTTACTTTGCAGGACATTAACGTTTGTTGTCAAACCCAAAACTGTAAACACTATAATGTCCGATGTTTTTCGTCGGCATTTAATTACTCCGACATCACTGTTCAGGGTCCGTCAACAAAGGTTACAGTTCCGCAATTTAAAACTAAAAGTAACAATGCATCTTTACAGTGAAATACACTCAGTAAATGATGTGATAGTGAGCAAAACTTCCTATGAAATTCCTATTAAACATAATTTACACACTTATGTCTTTGAAAGGAGATATGACCAGCTTGTCTCCCTTTGTTGAATCTTGAACGGTTGAGTTTTCATTTGAGACAACAATATTTCAATCAAAACATTGTTTCAGAAAAAAAGGGCTCAAGTTTCAACTTCAGAAATATGAAATGAAAATTAGACATAAAAAAAAAGAAGATAAATATTAGATTTTCAAATGAATTCTTCCATGATATATCACAAAACCTCATTATAATGCCAAATTATTCCTGGAAAAATGGTGCCAGTTTAAGAAGGTTTCGTGCCACAAGAATAAAAGTATTGTTTTCATGCCTGATTTGACCAAGGGAGACAATCTGTTATCTCTCATTCATAGTAAATATAACTTTTTTTCTAATAACATATATAAAAAAAATATATTCATTTATTTTACAACAATTGCAAAACAAGTTCTATCAATTTACATTAATAATTCTGGTTTGCCAGGATGGAAGGTTGCAGGGGGTCTGAACTTGTTTATCCATAGGACACATTTCAACTCTTCCAATTCAAAGGTTGGAATAGTTAATTATGAAATTTCAGTTGAAATTGAGTTAATTTGGGAAGAAACCAGATCAGCTGGAAAAGCCTACATGGTTGGACAGGTGACCCAATACCTTTTCACATCCGATCGGGAATCAAAACCACGGCTGTCTTGGTGAAAGGCGAATGCGCTATCCACTGCGCCACCTGACCAACCCCAACCTAAAAAATAAGTGGAGAGGGGAATGAAAAATTTTGTAATGGAATTTAATTTGGAACAGAAACTGGAATGTGGTTATATATTTAAAGGATTCCTATAACATGTCTATAGCAATCTTTGTTTCTTTGGTGGAAATTTAGAAATTTGATTTTTTTTTTTCATAATTTACCTCAAAACTTGGCCAGCATGATCAAACAAATCAAATGTCAAGGGAAGATATGACTACTCCTTGTAACCATATAACTCAAATAAATACATCTACAACTGAGAATAGTAACCTTCACTGATACTTATTGTATATTGTGGAGACCTGTTATTATCCATCCCGCACTCAACCGACCAGTGTATAAGGATCTCTGTCCCACTGTACTCTAGTTATCCCTATATACAGTAACCTCCCCTTAACTTCCATCTGTAACTGTAACTTCCATCTGTAACTGGTACCCC